GCCTTTTTTTCTAGCCAGAAAATCAGGGACGGGAAAATATTCGAATACACTGCCCACCAACACATTCTTAACAGAAGTGAAGATATTTTAAGAATATGAGAAGCGTTTCAAGACATCTGCTTTGCAGCAACAGAAAAACAGAGAGTTCGTTCTGAAGTCTGTCTCAAGAACAGGGCAGCCAGCTTTCACAAAGTACCCAGATATGTTCTGGCAAAAATACTTTAGCTTTCCTTAAGTTATATGCTGTCAAGTTCAACTATTTTATATATAGATGATCGTTTTTTGTCAACAAAAAAAGAAAGTTTTTTTAAAACTCCAAAATTAATAATATCTGTGCAGGACGATGGTAGAATTTTGGTTGGTTTGTGTAATTCAGAACATAGATGAAATCAAAAGGTCTGCAACCGTCTCTACGTTCACATCTTTCAAAGTTCCTTTTCTTCTCTCACATGAATTCATCTGAATCATTGCCATCCTGATTTGAAGACATATTTTCAACTTTCATTAGTGATGAGTAGCTCCTAAGTTCATCCATTTCCCTCTTCTTCTTCATTTCCTCTTTTTCTTTCCTTTTCATTTCCTGAATTTGGGCTTTTTTCTCATTCCTCTCTTCTCGATCTCTGCATTCTTTCTCTGCTGCTAGATCAGGGAACCGCTCCATTTTGGTCTTTTCTAATCGGTTCAGAATCTCATTCACTTTCTTCTCCACTGTCACAATTTTTACATCCTTTTGCCTGTGAAAGCCTATCTGCCCCACATCCATGTCAGCTGTTTTCTTCAGGTTAGACCACGGCGTATATACCACATTAACGTTGTTCATCTTGCAGCCTTGAATGCTGTTGGCTTTCACAAGGTGGGCACAGTCCATCAGCACTTCCTTTGGGATGTCTTCTATAGTCTCTCCCTTATGTAATCGAAGGTATACATGAGCGGAAGAGAGTTTGTCCACGTGAAACCAAATATCTTCAGGCCAGCCATACTTGATCAGATCTTCATTTTCATATTTATCCTTTCCCATGTAAATAGTGTAAGCAGATGAGTTCACGCTGCTGCTGGCGAAGTAGAACACCATGATCCCAGCGGCGGCGCGGCGGCTCCAGCGGGAAGCAGCAGCGACCCAGGCGCGGAGCTCAGGATACCACCCGCGCCGCGGACGCCCGTGTCCCGGAACTCGATAAGAATTTTTTTAATGGGAAATGTAGACTCACACCTGTAATCCCAGCACTTTGGGAAACTGAGACAGGAGATAACTTGAGGCCATGAGTTTGAGATCAGCCTGTGCAAGATAGTGATACTCCATCTCTACAAAAAAAA